GAGCAGCAGGGCAGCAGGAGCAGCAGCAAAGAGCAGGAGCAGGGACGCAGGGAGCAGGGACGCAGGGAAGCAGTAACAGTAGCATTCATTCATTCGGACGGTCGTGCGGGCAGTCCCGCAACTTGGCGGGCATCGGGCAACTTGGCGGGCATCGGAGGTGAAACTGAAATTGGCAAGGTTCTGAGTTTTGTGCTTTCTGGACGAGTGCATCCAACGCAGACGGCCAACGCATGCCGTTCGGCGGGATCAGCACATGCAGATACAGCCGCTCCGAGGAGACAGCACTGTATGTAGCCTCAGAGAGTTTACTTCTCCTGATATGGTGGACTGGGGAACGTTCCAGCTTTGTTTGCAGTGCATTCAAGCGTCGCAGCTCTACTGCATGGCAAAGGTTTCTAGGGATCAGGCCAGACAGGCAGTTCGGAGGCCTGTCGCCACATCAAGGCAAGCCAAGATCTGAAGATGTTTGAATGCAAACAAAGCAAGCAAGTCATGGAACAGGAGGCTTCCTCACCAGCGCGGGGGTATGGTGACGGTAATTTTCAAGCCTCTTTCAGGCGATGGTGCTGTGCTGACGGTTACGTGCGAGGTTCCATGAGCTGGCGTAGGAGCTGGTGGGCCAGGTGCCATTGAGCCAAACGGATGGCCAACAGGCAGCACAGGAGGTGGAGCTTTGGGTCCAGGAAGGTTCAGCGGCGGCGGTGGCCCGTTAGGCTTAGCCGCAGGAGAGCGCGCAGTTGTAGTGGGTCGAGAGGGCGGAGGACGTGCTGCAATCTCCTCAGAGTCGTTGTCATCGTCAATCGGGTCCGAAGAGGAACTGTTGTCGCTGCTCTCCTCCCGGCATGCTTCTTCATGGCAAAAGCGGAATTACTTACTCGAGGCTACCTCGAAAGGAGCTTGAGCTTGGTAGCAGCTGCCAGCACATTAGCAAAATACATGGGCAATCCTTGAGAGACTCGGTGGTTCATGAGTTGCAGGTGGCTGGTTTTGCTTCAAATAATCCGTGAAGTCTGCGTCGCTGGACCAGTCTCCGGAGGCTACCTGACCGAGATCGCAGCTCTATCAAAGGAAACAAAATGCAAACTTGGCCACAGAACTGTCCAGGAGGCTGCCTCACCGGAAAGCAGCTCACCAATACGGCATGTAGAGCAGGTGGGGCAAATGTGCCGCTCCTAGTGTCTGCAGCATGGTTGTCCGCAATCGCAGCGACGGGCGCACGCCGGGTAAGTTGGCATGACCACCAAGGACTGATTAGGTCCAGCATGTTGCTGTGTAACAGTGTCAGCAGAGAGCGAATTGCCCGAGTAGGGTTTTGTTGACGAGGGCTTGTGAACGGCATCCTTGGTGGAGTCCATAATGTGCAAGCACCGTCGCGTGAGCTGGGGCGAGACCCGATGCTGGGGAAGCCATGATCACTGAGTGGGTTCAGGAGCTTAGGCTTGAGAGAAGCTGCCAGCTAACCTAAGCGATGGCATTGCTATTAGCACGTGGAACAACGACTTGCGAGGGCAAATAAGAGCAAGCAAAGGATTTAAGGAGTGACCCGGTGGAATTTTCCTTTGGCTGCTGCAGCGCTCAACAATTTGCATATTTGAGAAGGCTTCCTCACCCAAAGTGGCATGGCTCGGTTATACAAAGCGGGTCTGAAACCTAGGAAAAAGAATCAGGTCCTGATCAAGTCGAATCAGCACTAGCAAAAACTGGTCCCTGTCCGGCCAATATACCTGCCCTGGGGAACTTGACAGAGGCGCTCAATCAAGACTTGCAGGGGCATGTCACATTCCTGCATGAGAAAAAGCTATGGCCGCAGCTGTGGACCTGTTTATGCCCTGCAAAGCCAGGGAACAAATATGAAGATGTCCAGAACCTCGCTGGAGCCTTTATCGAGCCGTGGCTGTTTGGTGAAAGATCCGGCCTCCCGAACAACGGCTACCTCGACCCACGAGTATCGCGGGTTTGGCCCGTGCTCAATGCACAAGTCCGAAGAATGAACTCGCCAGCCCTCCTCACTGCTTGGTTTGCCTGCCATGGGAGGCACTGCAGCAAGTATCTGGGGTCCCCAGCAGCTGATAGTACTCGCCACAAAAAGTATCGTGGGTTGCCATGAAAACATGCGGGTCCACGTGTGCTGAAGAGCAGAACAAGTACGAGCTTTACCAGCTTGAGAAAGTCATCGTTCGGGTCAGAAAGATCGGGACGAGAAAAAGCTTCAAAGCGCAGGGCGTCGTGGCTGCCTGGCCTGGTTTCCGCCTTGCAAAGCTGCTCAAGTGTGTCAGAATTCTTCGAGGGGGCAGCTTCGCAAGGACGGCTATTCCGGGGTTGAAGGCAATGAAAAGGATGAAGGCTGCGATGAAGGGCGTTCAAAAGATGCTCAGGGACAGAAGAAGGCGCAGCCCTCCCAAGTTCATCCGGATTTCGGAAGATGACAGTACTACACTTTTTGCGTCCTTTGGCCAATGCTTGAAAGTCTGAGGCACTGTGGCCGTGAATAGGATCTCGCCGACAAAGGGTTGAGGACACCTCCCCTCTACAGAATATGTAGTGAGACTTGTGCAGGGACCGGGAAAATGCTTTCGTGCAAGAAAAATCTGAGGCCTCGCTGCGTCCGCGAGCGCTTACATTTTCTCTCTGTGTCCCTATCTCGCACAATCGTCTCTGTTTTCTATATATATATATATATATATATATATATATATATATATATAAGTATCTTGTGGATCGAACAGACTTGCTGAACTGAGAGCGGCACGCGAGAAGAATCTCAGAACAAAGCGGCCTTTTCTGAACACAAGCGGACGGATGCACCTGGTTTGCAGCGGTCCCGGGATGGACCTGAGCCTCGTTCAACGAGACCAGTAGCACTACTTGCGGCCTTTGCGGTAAGACCAGTAGAGTGACCACTCACACGTCAAAGTCAAAGTCTTCAGACGGTACTTTGACTCAACTTTCTCGAAAGTCAAAGTCTTCAGACGGTACTTGGAGTCTCTAAAAGGGGCCTTGAGCGTCTCTCCACTGCAACCAGAGCTTAAATGTAACGGTTTAACAAGCGAGAGCCGATGGCTATACCACAGGCAATGCTTATCTAGGTCTCCTGTGCCACCACATCCGGATAGCAAACAGCGCTACGTACCCGTCAACCGCCCAACTCATCGAGCGGAACACGGGTTCAACTGAATTAGAACTGAGTAACACGTCTGCACTGCCAGGTACTTCAGCAGAGAGCTTCGGTGCCGTAGCACCCAGCACCGATTCTACAACTGAAGCGTTCCTCATGTGAAAACTGCGAGCATCCTGTAGGCTAGACAGCTTCCTGGCAGGGCTTGGCTCAGTAGAACTGTTTTGACAGCAACTGCAAACATCTGACTTCGCGCTGACAAGTTCTCCCGCCCATGAGAAAAGGGTGTGGGAAAGGAGGTGCTCAAGCAGGACTCCCCAACGTAGTTGACTGCCCCATTGCAGCAATCGCCAGAGAAATCGAATCAAGAACACACATCCAGCCAGGCATGTTTTCACCGCTGCCCACAGCCAGGCCCTTACCGGAGGGCAGCCTAGTCAAGACTCCGCAGTTTTCCTGGCTCGCTTCTTCGGGAAGGCCAGGGTCCCATCTGACACGGCTTTGGCAAGGCGCTTGGCCAAAAATTCTTTGGTGTCATCATCAAGCACTTGCTGTGTCTCGTCTTCATCAGGCGTTGGGTTCAACACGGCTTCAATGATGGATGACAAAGCATCGCCATCGTTCTTGCCTTTGCCACGCTTCCGATCAGTCTTTGACTCTGAAGTCTCAATCCCACGCTTTGCGAGGCGAAGAAGATCATGGAGCAGCTCCGTTGGTTCTCCAGCCATGGCTTTCTGTGCATGCTCAGAAGCGTGGGCTTCGGAATCCGCTTTGGTCTGTGAATCCTTCCCAGACGTTCCAGCGAATTGAGACACCAACTTCTGAACCGAGCCTGTTAAGGCACTGATGGCTGACATTACGGAACTTGCGCTGCCAGAAGGAGCATCGTGCCCAGCCACCTCGTGGGGGTAAGCACTTTGTGCAGGAATCCCTGCGAAGCACATCTGCGAAAACTGAGGGTGTGCATTCACGGGAAAGGACACGGTGGATGGTTTCGGCATTGCAGCAAACGGTTGCGGCAACGAAGCTGCCGTTTGCACGGGAATCTGATTGGGCTGGCAATGCCCCATGGCAGGGTATGCCGGCTGACCAAACCCAGCAGATGCGCGCATAGGTCCAAGCATCGACAACTGTTGCTGCTCCTGGAAGCGACGTGCTATGCCATGCAGGAGACCCATGCCGTTGTCACGATGCCCTTTGCCTTTCCCATGCTGCCAAGGCTTACCCATGGCAGGCGGCACCTAGCTAGAAAGCAGGCCTTGCTACAACCAAAAAACCTAGCGGAAACCACAACAACACAATTACCAGTTTACATGTCCAGCACGAGGGCTCTTTTCATGATAGTACGCATCATGCAGCTGACATGGGGCATGCGTTGTTGCTTTGACCAAATCCTCAAGCACAGTTTGGCAGGGTAGCCATATCTCAACCAGACTGTTGCCTCAAGGCACACGGCCTGCACTAAGGCTTCAGCATCAAGGCGGAGTTGAGACCAGCGTGCAACACGTGAACACATCCGGGAGTGGAGATGCGGCAAGTCCACATGCGCAACGCCCAGGTAGGGTGGAAGATGGAACTTGTCAGGGCACGCACTGCAGGCACTCAGGAAAGCTTCGCTGCGGACAAGGGGCACAACACGGACAGGATTTTCACCAGCAGCCAGCTCGACATCCAGCCATGCTTGCCTGGCAGGCGTGCCAGCAGCGACTTCCCAGGAAATCCAAGCCGGGTACATGACCAAAGGAGCTTCTGACAGGCACTGACGACAAAAACGGCGACTGACCATGCACAGGTCATCAACATATCTACGAGATGCCACGACTTTATGCCAAGGCAAGCCATTTGGGGCAAAGCCATTTTCAGCGCGACCAACTTCATCGAGCAACCATTTTTCCTCAATGCAGCTCAAGCAAGCATCTGCCGATGACGTTGAGCAGACACCACCGATAGGTGTTCCTGCACGCTGTCTCCAAACGGTATTGCCGAGCCGGACAAATCTTTGCGCTAGGGTCACAGCAGTGCCAACAAGCATGTCACGCAAATGAACGACCTTCATGCCTCTTATTGTCAAGTGACTCTTTTTGGTCAGGAAAGGCTTGCGCTTGCACTGTTTGTTTGAAGGCACAACAATTCCAACAACACCTCTGCTTTCAAGACGCTCAACCATCTCCTCAACGGAAGCATTCACTTGACGAGGGTCAATGGATTCAAACATGGCCTCAATATCTGTGACGCAAACTTCCCAGGGCAACTTGACGGAATTGCAACGGCAACATTTGCGGCAATCACCGGGCACTGCAAGATGGGAGCACTGGTCTACCAACTCTGCAACAGCAAGCTTTAAGTTTGTCGCCGTAAACCCTGGACCTGTAAGTCTCACAGTTGCAAGCACAGCTCTGTTGCACAACCGAAGCCATCTTTTTGCAGGGCACCAAAACCAAGAGACGATTTTTCTGTAGCAACTGTGGGCAGGCTTTTGGCACACATGCCGGAAGGCTTCATAGCACTTGGCTTTAACAGAGCCATAGATGTAAGGTATGCCTGCTTTGGCCCACCTGCTCTTTGAAAACACAGGCATGCTGCAGTGTCGCGATGCCCATGTGAACAATGCACGCATACCTTCCAGAGCTGACTCGGGCGATATTGCCACGGGCTCCCAGTGCAGAGTATCCCTTTCGAGTAGCATAAGCAAGCGGCATGCATAGCACTCAGCATGCTGACGCCACAGAGTAGAAGTATCTTTGTCTTCAACAACGATCGCTTCTCCTCGGGCGGGAGGGTACATGGGCGCAGTGTATTCCTCAAACGCGGTGCTTACAACCGGGCGAGGGGGAGCAGCAGACACAGCAAGCTGAAACAAGTCTTGCAACATGCTCGCACAAGGCAAGGGCTCATGACAGCTACCAAGCCAGCGACCAAGGCTGTCAAGAAACTCGCGTGCCACAACCTCTGAGCTGCGCCAAGACGTGAGCTTCCAATATCTCTTGACACGTTGCATGTCAAAGCCTGACATGGCTTGGTGCTTTCGTTCATTCGGCCACTGTCGCAGAACTAAGATGTTGCAACCGCGTGCAACAGTCGATTGGTTCATCGCTTGCGAAGCAAACGTAGGCGCAGGCCTTGGCAAAGCTTCACATGGCGACGCATCCACTCCCAACGCTGATGGCCTCCATTGCGAACCACTTGAGCTTTACACTGGCGCAAAAGTGCTCTGGCCGCCGGCAAGCCAAGCTCAGGAGGGACTTTGAGGTATTGGACGCGGGCAGGGGGTTCTTTGGCAAACCTCAACCCAAACTGCAGGCGTCGTAAACCAAGAAGGCGTCGACCAACAGTGGGAACTTTTGCAATGGCGTCATGAAGCTTGAAGAGGCGGCAATTTCCGTCTTCATGTGCCAAGATGCGAGACCAATCAATCTTGGCAGGTCGGTAGCAAATCCAAGCAACAAGCAAGTGAAGCCAGCTGTTGTACACAGAAACGGGCCCAGGAGTATTTGTGTCACGCACATGAGCACTAAGACACAAGCTGTAAGCATCTGGGAATGTTTTGACCAGCAGCTCAGAAGCAATCAACTCACGAGCTTGTCTTTCAAGGCTACTATGTTGTCTTCGAACCTCTGCGAGACACATGCGGCAGACGTTTGAATCTGCAGGGCCTGCAAGGACAGGCATGACACGCTGGCCCTTGGGCGGGCGACGCCTGGGTTTCGACCCAGAAAACACAGTGCTAGCACACGGTGTTCTGGCAATACGTCCCATGGTCGGGCCATGCCAGACAGTGATGAGAACTTTTTCATGCGCACGAGCCTGAAGGTCAGGCCCTGCGAAAACCACCAGGGCACCAAGGTCACAAGCAGACTCCTGTTGGAGGAACTGTGTCTTTTTGTTCGTTGGGGGCATGGACCGCTCATGGAAGTGCTCATTAGTTCTAGGTACAGGTGCACCCAACCTGCCAGAGGTGGCTTTTCGCTGGTGAGAAGAGTATCCCACGTAGAGCTCCTTCCTGCGACCACCAAGGATGTACACAACTGAATCAAGGCACGCCAGTTTCAAAGGCTCATCGACCTGCATCTGCAAGAACGCGAAGAAAGGCACTGGACACTGCGCATCGTGATTCCAGCCATACATCAACATAGGCCTAACAGCCTCCGGAAGGAACTGCAAGCGTCTACGTGCAATGTCCTGTCTGCGACATCCTGCGTGTGCTTGCCAACTCGTCAACAGAAGCCAGCGACAAGCACCCAACATCCACGACCACAGCTCAATGCATTTCCGGCCTTGAGCACGCATGGTCTTGCAAGCCGGCCGAAGCCAATCATGAGCTCTCCTATTCAGCGCACCAAGGCCGCGTAAAAGCCCGAGTGACACAGAGCACGTAGACATAGCAGTCATAGCGGCGCCCCAAAGGAGCGTCATGGCAGCAGTATCTTGCGATGTCTGTACGCGACGCAAGCCACTGCAAAGCAAAGACGATGTCTTCAACATACGGTTTGTCACAGCACTATCGTGCGACAAGAAAAACACCTCGCAAACTCGCGCAGTCTCACTACACAAAGCGCTGCAAGCAGCAGAGACTGGTAATGACTCCCAAGCTGACATGCTTTCCCACTGTGCGACACCTTTGCCTTGGAAGGCGAAGTACGCCCTGTCAGGGTGTGAGTTTTCACCAAGAGCATGAGGGCGACGATGCCAGGGGATGTGAGTCAACTGAACAGCAAATAAAAGCGGTAGTATGACAGTGGCCACCGTAAGCTCAAACGCAGACACGCGAGCCCGGTCACGGCCACCTGGCAAACTTGCTGAACTGAGAGCGGCACGCGAGAAGAATCTCAGAACAAAGCGGCCTTTTCTGAACACAAGCGGACGGATGCACCTGGTTTGCAGCGGTCCCGGGATGGACCTGAGCCTCGTTCAACGAGACCAGTAGCACTACTTGCGGCCTTTGCGGTAAGACCAGTAGAGTGACCACTCACACGTCAAAGTCAAAGTCTTCAGACGGTACTTTGACTCAACTTTCTCGAAAGTCAAAGTCTTCAGACGGTACTTGGAGTCTCTAAAAGGGGCCTTGAGCGTCTCTCCACTGCAACCAGAGCTTAAATGTAACGGTTTAACAAGCGAGAGCCGATGGCTATACCACAGGCAATGCTTATCTAGGTCTCCTGTGCCACCACATCCGGATAGCAAACAGCGCTACGTACCCGTCAACCGCCCAACTCATCGAGCGGAACACGGATTCAACTGAATTAGAACTGAGTAACACGTCTGCACTGCCAGGTACTTCAGCAGAGAGCTTCGGTGCCGTAGCACCCAGCACCGATTCTACAACTGAAGCGTTCCTCATGTGAAAACTGCGAGCATCCTGTAGGCTAGACAGCTTCATGGCAGGGCTTGGCTCAGTAGAACTGTTTTGACAGCGACTGCAAACACCCTCCCTCCCCACACCCCTGCCCCCAAAAAGGAGTTTGCAAACTCGCAAGTCGATTTTTGGAGCTTGAGAAGATGTTCCTACATGACGAAAGTGCTGAAAACAGAGTAAAACGGATGTGTTCGAAAAGCGTATGTAGGAGGGGGGGCGCCTACGACGACGACGACGACTACTACTACTACTACTACTACTGCCCATACCCTACTACTACTACTACAACTACTACTACGACGATTACTGCTGCTACTGTTACTGCTAGTACGACTACTACTACTACTACTACTACTACTACTACTACAACTACTACTACGACGATTACTGCTGCTACTGTTACTGCTAGTACGACGACTACTACTACTACTACTACTACTACTACTACTACTACTACTACTACTACTACTACTACTCTACGACTACTACTACTACTACTACTACTACTACTACTACGACTACTGCTACTACGACTACTGCTACTACTACTACTACTACTACTACTACTACTACTACTACTACTACTACTACTACTACTACTAAACGCCCCCTCCTATCAACCACCTGGCACCTTAACCCATCATCATCATCGTCACACACGAAAATGACAGCCGCAGAAAACGCACGGGCTCAGGCCCCCTATCTGCGACAGCTGCAGAAGTTGCCGAGGTTCACTTGCCTTAACTGTCACAGATGCAAGGAGGCTCCTTTTTTGTGACAGCTGCAGCAATTGCCGAAGCTCATTTGCCTTAACTGTCACAGCCGGTGAAGTTGCAGAGGCGCAGGCCCCAACACTGCGACAGCAACTGGAGGTGC